ACCACCTTCAACACCTCCAGCACAAGTTCAAGAAGAAGATGAGTCAAGTTCAAGTTCTTCAAGTGAAGTGCTTCAGAAAACTAAAAGTCTTCATGAGTTGTATGAAAATACGGAAGTGATAAAAGATTTGTATGATTTGACTCACTTTTGTTTGTTGGTGGATAGTGAGCCTTTAACTTATGAAGATGCTGCCCAAAATTCCAAATGTAGAGATTCTATGGATGAAGAAATTAAGGCAATCAAGAAGAATGTACTTGAGAATTAGCCATACTTCCAAAAGGCAAAAGCACCATTGGTGTCAAATGGGTGTACAGGTTGAAGAATAATTTTAAGGGTAAGGTGGAAAGGTACAAAGCAAGATTGGTTGCCAAGGTATACAAGAAAAATGATGGTATTGACTATGATGAGGTATTTGCATCGGTTACTCGTTTGGAAACAATTCGTTTTATTATTTCTTTGGCAGCTCAAAATTAATGAAAAATTCATCAAATGGATGTGAAATCGGCTTTCTTGGATGGTGTTTTTGAGGAAGAGGTTTACATTAATCAACCTTTGGCTACAAGATTGAACGACATGAAAATAAAGTATTGAAATTGAAGAAAGCTCTTTATGGCTTGAAGCAAGCGCCACGAGCCTGGAATAGTAGAATTCATAAATACTTCCAAGCAAATAGTTTTTCAAAGTGTACACTTGAACATGCACTTTATGTCAAGATTGCTAAAAATGGTGATACCTTACTTGTTTGCTTGTATGTAGATGATTTGATCTTTATTGGAAATAATCTAAAGATGTTTGAAGAATTTAAGGAAGCTATGGCAAGAGAGTTTGAGATGATGGACATTGGCTTAATGTCCTACTATCTTGGAATCAAAGTGCAACAAAGGAAGGATGACATTTTTATTTCTCAAGAAGAATATTCAAAGGAAATTCTCAAGAAATTTCAGATGGAGAATTGCAATTCAGTGAGCACTCCCGTTGAATGCAGAGTTAAAGTATCAAGCATCGAGAGGGAGAAAAGATCAATCCACATTTTTCAAGAGTCTTGTTGGAAGCTTAAGGTACTTGACATGTACAATACCGGATATTCTTTTTGGTGTTGGACTTGTGAGTCGCTTTATGGAAGTGCTTACTACCTCCCATTTGAAGGTAGCCAAAAGAATACTCCGGTATATCAAAGGTACCCTTGATTATGGAATATTTTATCCATCTTCCAAAGACTCAAAACTTGTTGGATGTTGTGACAGTGATTAGGCTAGTGATATTGATGATCGAAAAAACACTACTGGGTTTGTTTACTTTCTTAGAAATTCCGCATTTACATGGAATTCTAAGAAACAACCAATTGTGATTTTGTCAACTTGTGAAGCGGAGTATGTAGCAACTTGTTCTTATGTTTGTCATGCAATTTGGCTAAGGAGCTTGTTGGAAGAACTTCACCAACCACAAGAAGATGCAACAAAGATTTTTGTTAACAATAAATCGGCTATTGAATTGGACAAGAACCCGGTATTTCATGAAATGAGCAAACATATTGATACTAGGTATTACTTTATTAGATATTGCATATCTAATAAAGTTGTGGAGTTTGAGCATGTAAAGTCACAAGACAAAGTTGCAGATATTTTCACCAAGCCGTTAAAGATTAAGCTCTTTCAAAAGCTAAGGATGGCTCTTGGAGTGATGAAACAAGTTTAAGGGGGTATGTTAAAATGTGAACAATATAAACTTATTTCCATTTGTTTACATTAGTTCATGAACTAGAATATTAATTTAGTACATGTATTAGAATATGGACATATTGATGTACTTTGGGAGATACAATGTCTAGTAGTGTCATCCATGTACCTTGAAAGATGTGAGGAGTGGACTTAGTTATTATATATACATGTAGTGTAGGCTAGATACATGAAAGATTTCTCCTATAAATAGCCATGTATTCCTAGCCATTTGGAGTAAGTCAAGTTGCAAAAAATCATCCTTTCCTCCACTTTCTTCGTTGTGAATTCTGAGTGTTCATTTGTATTGTCTTGCTCTCCTAAATTTTCTAACATTGTGGTATCAGAGCCGGTATTTTTGAGAAATAACCAAACTTGGAGAGAAAATGACAAATAGTAATGGAACTCCATTTCAAGTTCTTATGCTCACAAAAGAGAACTATGAAAATTGGTGTATCTGTATGAAGTCTTTGCTTGGTGCCTATGCTGTTTGGGAACCAGTGGAAGTCGGAGGTGATGGAACGGAAGATGATGCCGCCTTTAAAAAGAAAGATCAAAATGCGCTCACTCTCATCCATCAAAATTTGGATGACAAGGTGTTTGAGAAGGGCGCAAATGCAACCACCTCAAAGCAAGCATGGGAGATTCTTCAAACTTCCTTTAAAGCTTTGGATAAAGTGAAAAAAGTTCGTCTCCAGACCTTAAAAGGAGAGTTTGAATCATTGCATATGAAGGAATGCAAATCCGTTTTGGATTATATTTCAAGAGTTTTGGCTATTGTCAATTAAATAAAGAGATATGGTGAAGACTTGACTGATGATAGGGTCGTTGCAAAAATACTACGGTCCCTTGATTCAAAATTTAATTATATTGTTGTGGCTATTGAAGAGTCCAAAGATTTGGATACCATGATCATTGAAGAACTCACGGGTTCTTTGCAAGCACATGAAGAACCGTTGAAGAAACCGAAGAAAAATCGGTTGAATAAGCGTTGCAAACAAAACTTTCTTTCAAGGAGAAAGATGAAAGGCGTGGCTCGCAATAAAGAGGTCGTAGACATGGACAGGATCATTGTGGAAAAGGAAGAGGTGGTTGCCAACCACCAAATAAAGAAAATAGGAGCCAAGACTCTAATAAAGGAAGAGGTTATAGAAGAGGTAGAAGAGAGAGGCAAAATTAAAGAAGGTATGATAATTCTACTATTGAATGTTATACTTGTCATAAATTTGATACTATTTCGATGAATTTTGTGCCAATTGTTATCACTATAGCATGTCAAGTTTAAATTTGGACAAAATTCCAGCAAAAGGTTCAAAATTATTTTCAATTAGAAGATAGAAAGTTAAAATAAAAAACTAAACATGCCAATTTTAAAAAATTAATACTTTCTCCTAGGTTTAACAAAAAATAATACTTCCTCCTACGTTTATTTGGCAGTTTTTTTATTTATTTATGAAACCTTTTAATGCAAAAAGAAATTAATATTTTATCCAATATTAATTTTTTTATTGGATTGACAGTTTTTTATTTTAAATTTAAAATAGTGCACAAATATTTATTGTCTAAATTTATTGATAAATTTAGATGATTGAAGAATTTTGAATAGTGGACAAAGATTTGATACTATTTCGATGAATTTTGTGTCAATTGTCATCGCTATAGCATGTCAGGTTTAAATTTTTAGGACAAAACTCCAGCAAAAGTTTCAAAATTATTTTTAAATAGAAGATAAAAATTTTTTTTAAAAAAAATTAAACATGCCAATTTTAAATAATTAATACTTCCTCCAAGTTTTTTTTTGATTTATTTATTAAACCTTCTAATTCAAAAAGAAATTACTGTTTTCTCCCACTTTTTTGTACTGCAGTTTGAATTTATTTATATACTTAATATTTTTTTTAAACAGAAACAAGAACAAAGGAAAAAATAATTACCCGAAAATTTAACCCCACGACTGATGTTTTCCTAAAAGTAGCTTGGAACAATAATTCTAACCGACCTCTATAATTAATTCTTATCCTCGTTCTCCTATGTAAATAATTATTTATGTGATTTTTTCTTTCAAGTATCTAGATTAAGCCAACTGGCAGCCTAATAATAAGTCACTTGGCATTGCTCAAGACAATTAGTAATATTAGGATAATATAAATCAATAATATAATAAAATTAGTTAGTTTAGAATTAATGTGGTTAATTTTGCTAATATGATTGTGAAATGCGCTATTTCTAATTACATTAGACGTGATTTTTGTTTTAATGATTTTTGTTGCTAAGTTATGTGGAAGTTGGATGTAATTTTGTAACTATCAACATGAAAATTTGCAAAATTATCCAAGCGACAAATGCCTAAAAACTTAATTTAACATTTAATGATATACAAATGGAATTGAGCACCACGGCAAGGTTTCTTGGTCGGTCAAAATATTCTCCAAGGGATATATGTCTATCAAAATATGCAAATTTTCAACCTATTAATTATATTCATATTGATCTGTTTTCATATTGTTAAACTAACAGTCATCAGTTGACGGGTTTATATAATAATATTATAAAGAAAACAAAATGATGATATAAATTAATACTCCAACAAAGACCATTGTTTGAGATTTTCGGGCAATTTTAGTGAGCAATTGGCGCAATTTTAGCAGATTCGTCGTGCTACAATATATACACAGCCAGTGCACGGAACCTGAACTCTTTATAAAAATAAATTGATTTGCTAATTATACTTAAAGGTTACATTCACATTATTGATTTTATAATAGGCTTATTTATTTTTTAGTTTACCAAATTAGATTTACTATAGTTGTTGTGTTAATGTGAGTCTTGGCAGGCTCTGTGGTCAAATGCTGTTCTAGTTCTGCTTGCAGGATATAAGAAAAATGCAGAGATTACATTCACATTATTCTTTTAATTTTCGCCTCCAATTTTTCACTCTTTGTTTGTATTTTTCTTCTTGCTACAATTTTTTTAAAAAGCAAATTATGCTACTAGGCAGGCTCCCTAGTAGCTATCTTTATTAATAATAAAAAAAAAGAAAAATTCTTGCTAGTATTTGCTTTACAGTTCCAGCATTAAAACTTTTTGTGGTATTTTAGGATTATGGCCTCTAATAATTGCTAACTCCAGTAGATAATTTACGAATCCTTAAAAGTCTTTTTTGTGGAGTTGAAAAAAAGTAGTCCCTTTTGCTGAAAAGAGAAAGTTACAAGCAACTTGGTTTGACCAAACTGCTTGATCTAGTTGTTTCACACTATAATAACCTTTTCCCACTTCTTGAGGACAGCATTTATTAAAAGTCTTCTCTTTACATTCTTTGTAGTATTCCCATTGCTTATCCTTCTAGTTTCAAATCAAAGAACCAAATTTGAGCTTATTGTTGACTGTTCATCTTTTCTTCCATTCCTCCCTTCTCTATCTTGAGAAAGAACATCAAGTCATTAAAGTAAAGGACGCGATGATTGGCTTTGAGATAGAGACTGAGATGCTGATGGAGAAACTTGTGACAGGGCCTCGACAATTAGATGTGATCTCAATTTTCGGAATGCCAGGACTTGGAAAAACAACTTTGGCTAAGAGATTGTATGATCATGAATCTATTTCCAATCGTTTTGATATTCGCTTGTGGTGTTGTTCTTCCCAATCTTATGATAAGAAATCTCTCTTGTTTGAATTATTGAATCATATTTGTAAGCTTGATACTAGTACCAAAGAAAAGAGTGATGATGAACTAGCTGAGAAGCTCTACAAACATTTGAAGGGAAAGAGGTACCTTATTGTTGTCGATGATGTGTGGAGTCAAGAGGCATGGGATGATATAAAGAGACCGTTTCCAGATGATGATAAAGGAAGTAGAATTATTTTGACGACCAGACTTGAATCAATCGCCACATATGCCATGATCGATTCGAGTCCTCATTTCCTTCGCTTGTTCACAGAAGAAGAAAGTTGGATGCTACTGAAGGAGAAAGTATTCAATGAAGACAATTATTGTCCACAAGAACTCGAGGAGACCGGTAAGCAAATAGCGAGTAAGTGTGGAGGATTACCCCTTGCAATTGTATTGGTGGCGGGTCTTCTTGCAAAAAATGATAAGGAAGTAATTTACTGGCAAGAAGTTGGTGAAAGTTTGAAATCAAAAATCCAAGGTTGCATGGATATAGTTGAATCGAGTTACCAACACTTACCCATTCATTTGCAGAAATGCTTTCTCTATTTTTCTTCATTTTTAGAAGACCAGAAAGTTCCTGTTCAAAAACTGATACGACTATGGATGGCAGAAAATTTTGTTGAAGCTAGTAGTACATCGAAGAGCTTAGAAATGATTGCCATGGATTACTTGATGGATTTAATTAGCAGCAACCTTGTAATGGTGGCCAAAATAAATTCCTTAGGGGAAGTTAAAGCCGTCCATATTCATGATTTAGTACATGAATTTAGTTTCGTAAAAGCTAAAAAGGAGAACTTTTTGCTGCGAATAAATGGGTAAGTAAAATTAATTGTGTTTTTTTCTTGCTGAGATAATGGCACTTACCTTTCTTTTCTTTCTTGAACCAGAATAGGTGCATTTTGTTCATCTCGCAGAAGTTGGCTAAGGAGAATCGGGTAAGTAAAATCAATTATATGTATCTTGTTGCTGCTTATCATTATATTGCCTCGCGATCTGATCCTTCTTCTTCTTCTTGAACCAGTCTTGGTATATTTCCATCGTCTGAGAGTCGCTTTAAACGCGTGAATATTTTACCTTCTCAAGTGCTTCTTGGAGAAAAATTTAGACTTGGAAAAAATATCAACACCCTACGATTCCTTCCTAGTGTATATTCTCCTATTGTTGATTATGATTTGACTTGGAAACATCTAGGAGTATTAGATTTGGGTTCCGTAAGGCTACGTCAGACACTTGTAGATGCTTTACAACATCTGATTCATTTGAAGTATTTGGAGTTACAGTTGTGTTTTCATAACATTCCACATTCAATATGCAACCTGAAGAAGCTCGAGACATTTATAGTGTTTGGATACCATGATCAACCCTGCATTCCCGTTACCATTTGGAGTATGACAAGCTTGAGACATCTGCATATAACTCCTCTATATACCTATCAGCCGTTACACAATCTTGACAACTTGCAAACATGTTCCGATCTGGTTATTTTTCCTGGGGTGTATTACCAAAATTTTATGAAAAGATTTCCCTATCTTGAAAAGCTCAGTTGTCAATTATATAGTTCACGAAACTCGTCTAGCAATTTCTTTCCTAGTTTTGACTCTCTTAGTCAACTGAATTCTCTCAAGATTGGTGTCTCTGGGGAATTGGTAGATCCCTATGGTTTTGAAGACTTTACATATCCGTCAAACCTCAAGAAATTAACTTTAGCATGTCTTGAACTCCCCTGGAGTAGAATCTTAACCATCAGCACCTTATCCAACCTTGAAGTTCTGAAACTAGAAGGAAATGCCTTCAGAGGGAGACAATGGGACGTTAAGGATGGGGAGTTTCCTAACCTTAAAGTTTTGAAATTAAAGGATCTACGAATCTCAGAATGGACTGCCTCTGATGACTCGTATCCCAGCCTACAGAAAGTACTTGTGCAATGGTGTTGGAACCTAGAGGAAATCCCTGAAAGCTTTGGAAGCAAGTGTACGATGCAAATGATTGAGGTAAGATCATGTCGCTACTCTGTTGTAAATGCTGCCCTCAAAATTAAGGAAACACAAATTGAGGAGATGGGGAATTCTCAATTCAAGGTCATTATTTGTAAATGAAAGTCAATAGTCTTGATCAGACGAGTCGTTCAGTTAGATAACCTTGTTTTATGTTCTGGAAATTAAAGCAGATGCTACACATGGTATGCAAGGACCTCCTGTTATTTGGTTGATCTAGTACTTTTAATGTGCTATTATTCGATTTTAATCTTGATTAAGGTGTGATCAATATTAGAAAAGGTTCATTTGAAGGGGTTTGGTGCACCCCCTATAGTTCATAAGAACTTGATCTTTTACAGCTTATAAATTGCAATTCTGCAAAAGCTACTTCACCTTTTGCATGGGTCAAGTCAATGATTAATAACATCGCCTCTATAGTTGCTGCAACCGGCTTTTACCCATCTGAGTGTGATTTTTCACTTGAATTGAAAGATGAAAGGAAAGGAATATTGGCCCCTGAATGAGTGCAACTCCATACTCTAATGGTGTTCACTGATACTCTAATGTCTAGCTGTGCTGCGACATGAATTCCAAGTTCAAAACAGATGGTGAAAAGGATAGTATGTATTATTAAGCAATATTCCTGATATATCTGCAACTGGATAACACCCCCAAGTAGAGGCGGACACAGAATTTGAAGGTCATGGGTACATTTTTTGAGTCAACTAAAATCTACTTTGTATATAGGATGTCCACTACTAATATATCATTATTTTCTAAAGACATATACATGTATACATGAAATTTTTTTCCTAACTTTACGGGTACCGATGATCCCTCTATGTATAGCATAGGTCCGCCGAGAGGCGGATCTAGGAGTTTAGTTCTACGGGTTTAGTATTTAAAGTTATGGGTTCATATCTATTATTTATTGCAATTTTAGTAATTTTTTATACATAAATTTATGCTCTGCGTTGAAAGAACTGGGTTCAGTGGGTTCTATACTGCATCCGCCACTGGGTCCGCCTCTGCCCCCAAGAAGTTCTACTGGCCACCTTAAACTCTTTTCTTTAATGCAAATGTTTTCAGTGGTTATTTCTCATTATTAGTAGCTGTTACAATGTTTGATAAGAAGGGGAAGAAAAAGAAACTGCACCTATATTAGTCCGCAATTCATAGTTGTTGTACAGGTTGCCATATGCTTCAGAACCTTCATTATTTGGTATTTATCTTGGATTGAACTGTTACTTTATAGTACTGAAGTCAAACCAAAAGTAAAAGAAGTTAGTCTCAGGCCATGCATTGATCACAACAAGACATAGTAGCTTGAATTAAGCTCCTTAAAGAAGCATCTGCTCAATCAAATGATAAAGAATAACATGGATGTTACTGCTCTTGCGGAAAAAGAAACTAACATCGGCAAATGAATCACTATATTTTAAAAAAGAGCCAATAAAAAGAATTCTTCTTTTAGACAGTCTAATAGTAGGAATTGAACTCTGAGATCAAGCCAATTACAGGAGGCCTTGCATACCTAAATGAACAACCCTAGCGATCAACACTATTGACTTTCACTTAGAAATAATGACTTTGAATTCAGAATTTCCCATCTCCTCAATTTGCATTTCCTTAACTTTCAAAGCAGACTTTACAGCATTGTCTCCGCATGATCTAACCTCAATCAGTTGCAGCGTACAATTGCTTCCGAAACATTCAGGGATTTCCTCTAGGCTCCAACAACTATGCACCAGTACTTTCTGAAGGTTAGGGTACGAGTCATCAGAGGCAGTCCATTCTGAGAATCCTAGTTTCTTTAATTTCAAAACCTTAAGGTTAGGAAACTCCCCATCGTTAACGTCCCATTTTCTCCCGATGAAAGAATTTTCTTCTAATTTCATAACTTCAAGGTTGGACAGTCTGCCAATGGTTGAAAGTTTACTCCAGGGGAGCCTAAGATATACTAGAGTTAATTTTTTGAGGTTTGAGGGGTACGTGAAGTCCTCGAAACCATAGGGATCTACCACCGCCCCAGAGACACCAATCTTGAGAGATTTAAGCTGGCTGAGAGTTTCAAAAGCAGGAAAGAAATTGCCAGAAGGGGTTCCTGAACCATACAATTGACAACTGAGCTTTTCAAGATTGGGAAATCTTTTCATAAAATACTGGAGATCCCCCACTCCCCCAGGATAAATAACCATACCAGAACATGTTTGTAAATTGTCAAGATCCTCTAATTGGTTTTCGGATTGCTCACTTGGCCACAGATCTATATAAAGATCATTTATATGCAGATGCCTCAAGCTTGTCATGCCCCAAATGGTTTTTGGATTGCAGGCTTGACCATAAATTCCTGTCACTATAAACGTCTCTAGCTCCTTCAGGTTGCATATTGAATTTGGAATGTGATCAAAGTACAAGTACAACTGCAGCTCCAAATACTTCAAATGAATTAGATATTGTAATGCATCTACACTTGTCCTACACAGCTTTACGGAACCCAAATCTAATACTCTGAGATGTTTCCAGGATTTAGTCAAATCATAATCAACAAAAGGAGAATTTACACTGGAAAGGAACCGTAAGGTGTTGATATTTCGTCCAAAGCTAAATTTATCTCCAAGAAGCACTTGACAAGGTGCTAAAACATTCACACGTTTACAACGATTCTCAGAAGATGGAAATATACCAAGTCTGGTTCAGGCAGGAGAAGAAGCATCAGATCGAGGCATTATCATGATAAGCAGCAACAAGATACACATAATTGATTTTACTTACCCAATTCTCCTCAGCCAACTTCCGCGAGAAGAATAAAGTTCACCTACTCTGGTTCACGAAAGAAAAGAAAGGTAAGTGCCATTATCACAAGTTCACAGCAACAAGAAACATTAAATTTACTTACTCATTTATCCTCTGCGAAAAGTTGTCCTTCTTAGCTTGCACCAAGCTAAATTCGTGTATTAAATCATGAATATGGACTGCTTTGATCTCCCCTAAGGAATTTAATTTAGCCACCATCACTAGGTTGCTCCTAATTAAATCCATCATGTAATCCATTGCAATCATCTCTAAGCTCTTTGATGTACTACTTGCTTCAATAAAATTTTCAGCGATCCACAGTCGTATCAGTTTTTGAACAGGAACTTGATGGTCCTCTAGAAATGAAGCAAAGTAGAGAAAGCATCTTTGCAAATGAATGGGTAAGTGTTGGTAGCTCGATTCAACTATATCCATGCAACCTTTTATTTTTGACTTCAAACTTTCGCCGACTTCTTCCCAGTAAATTACTTCCTTATCATGTTCTGCAAGAAGGCCAGCGACCAATACAACTGCCAGGGGTAATCCTCCACACTTACTCGCTATTTGCTTACCGATCTCCTCGAGTTCTTGAGAACAATAACAATTGTCTTCTTTGAATACCTTCTCCTTCATTAGCATCCAGCTTTCTTCTTCTGTGAACAGGCGAAGGTGATGATGACTCGAATTGATCATGGCATATGTGGCGATTGATTCAAGTCTGGTCGTCAAAATAATCCTACTTCCTTTATCGTCATCTGGAAATGGTCTCTTTATATCATCCCATACCTCACAACTCCACACATCATCGACAACAATAAGGTACCTCTTTCCCTTCAAATGTTTGTAGAGCATCTCAGCTAGCTCATCATCACTCTTTTCTTTGGTACTAGTATCAAGTTTACAAATATGATTCAGTAATTCAAACAAGAGAGATCTCTTATCATAAGATTGGGAAGAACAACACCACAAGCGAATATCAAAGCGATTTGAAATAGATTCATGATCATACAATCTCTTAGCCAAAGTTGTTTTTCCTAGTCCTGGCATTCCGAAAATTGAGATCACATCTAATTGCCGAGGTCCAGTCACAAGTTGATCCATAAGCATTTCAGTCTCTCTCTCAAAGCCGACCATCGTTTCCTTTGCTTTAATGAACTTGATGTTCTTTCGAATATGGAGGGGGGAAAAATGAAGGATGAAGTCCGTACCTTTGGTTTAACACCACCTACCAAAGGAAAACGAAAAGTTCTATTAGCTACAGAAAACAGTTTTGTCATCTTTTAATTTTCTAATACCTCTTCTTAAATTAATTGAGCATGATAAGATTGATATAGTACCACTTGATTGATTCCCGTGGCTTTTGGCCCTTCCCCACTTTCCAGAGTAGGCATTTTTTTGTATATATTATGTTTTAAATCTAGTACTATTAAATTTGTAGTTTATATGCGTAGTTGCAAGTTGCGTCAATTTTTTTTTCTACTTTGCATCTGCACAACTGACGAGGAGAAGAAAATTAGTTGACCACTCAACAACTTGGAATAATTTATGTGATGCCCATGGAGGGTGGGTCAAGAAATACTGGCAAGCTCTTTAAGAAGGGTTGTATATGTCAACTTAGGCGAATCGCACATCGGAATGAGAGAGGAAAGTGAATAGCTATATAAGGCATGAGACAAGTTCCGCGTTTTTGGGGGCTCGATCCTAATTCCAGTTATGTCCTCTTCCTAAGAGACCTTCTGGCTGGGAATTAACTTTATTGGCTTAAATGCATGTAATAAAATCCCTAAATATATGATGTTATTTATGTCTCACAACTTTCAATCTTTCAACTCTGAATGGTATGTACATGCATGCAGACATTTATGTTAGTAAAGATCTATCTCAGAACTAGAAGATTAAAGTTTAAAGGAAATTAAGACATTACACGTTGGGGCATCTGTTTATAGTTGTAATTATTATCAAAAAAATTACCCATGAGACGTTCTTATTATCAGTTTGCAATTAATAATGATGCTTCGGAATAGTGTACAAGTAGCTAGTTTAAGACGCATTACTAGACTTGTGAATACCTATGCTTTTGCTTTTAAAAAAAGTTTTTTTTTTTGTTTTGATTTTGGAAGATACGGGGGAAAAAAAATCAGAAACCTCTTTTCAAGAAGAGACCACTAATATATAACTAGAGAAAAGTTGTTGAGCACTTAGGATTTGAATAGTTATCTTTTGTAGTATAATATATTTTCAAACTTTTTTTAAATATTTTTATTTCAAAGATTGTGATTAATGATTAGTAGTACTATATGTATATTTATATTTTTTAAAAATTAAAAAATCGAGTATGAGGCGGTCTATTCCGAGAGTCCTAGTTTCTTTAATTTCAAAACTTTAAGATTTAAAAAAAACTTTAAGATTAGAAAACTCCCCGTTTAACGTTCCATTTTCTCCCTTTGAAACTAGTTCCTTATAGTTTAAGAACTTCAAGGTTGGACAAACTACCAACGTAGGAAATTTTACTCTAAGGGAGCTCAAGATATGCCAAAGTTAATTTCTTGAGGCTTGAGGGATATGTCAACATCCTAGTGACATCAATCTTTAGAGATTTGAGTTGACTCAAAGACCCGAAAGCAGGAACTGGGGCCGTTTAAAAATTTAAGTACCATAATCAAATACATAATTCAAATGGAAAATACAAACTAAATAACCATCTCATGACTTGCACCGCCAGCTAATGATCTCAGAATTCACCATCTCTTCAGTTTGTTGTTTCTTAATTTTGAAAGCAGCACGTACGGCGGACAGGAAAAATTACTCTAGTTGTTGCTCCTAATAGTCTGGTAGAACAAGAAAATGATACCAGAAAATGAACGATATCCTCGGACTGCTATGTGCCGGGAAGGGACGGATCATAGTGGTGTATTGTACGCAGCCTTATCCTACATTTCTGCAAGAAGCTGTTTTTGCGGCTCGAACCCGTGACCTCCTGGTTATATGACAACAACTTTACTAATTACGCCAAGGCTCCCCTTAAAATGAATAATATCTCACAAAAAAAGAAAAGCTACTTGAAAGAGAAAAGACCTGTGATCTACCTCTTTATATCTAACTCTGAGATCAAGCCAATTACAATAAGGGCCTTTCATTCATGCATAGCACAACTTATAATTCAAGAACCTGACCCTTCTAATCAAATCTCATGACTTCCACAATTCCAAATATTGACCTTGAATTCAAAATTTCCCATCTCCTCAATTTGCATTTCCTTAATTTTCAAAGCAGCATTTACAGCAGAGGCGCCACATGACCTTACCTCAATCTGTTGCATCGTACACTTGCTTCCAAAACTATCAGGGATTTCCTCTAGCTTCCAACACGGTTGCACAAGTACTTTCTATAGGTTGGAAAACGAGTCATTAGAGGCAGTCCATTCTGAAATTTGTAGCTCTTTTTGTTGAAGTTGTCAAATATCTCACATTGGTGGTTGACACTTTTGTTTGGGATTTTTTCCAAGGCCTAATGTTTAGGATTTAAACACACCTCTCATTTGTCTGCTTATCTTCTTAAATCATTTGTATTTTCTCTCTTTAGTATTATTTCACTTGTATTTTTGGAGTGGAATAAAATATTGGTTGTGTCCGAGGAAGTATACAAAATTGGCCGAACCTCGTAAATTCTGGTGTTTCTTTTATCGTTGTATTATTGTCTTATTTATTATTTAGTGGCTGCCATAATTTTGGTATAGTAGTTGTGACTCATTCACACTATATACCTTTGGCTTCCACAATAATTGGTATCAGAGCCAAGGTACTGTCTAAGTATGCTCTGTGGTTGCAACATAGTCTGATCTTCAACATCAGAAAAGATTTATCTTGGTAATTGAGTCAAGGTTCCGTCTCAGTATGCTCTGTGGTTGCAGCTTAGTCTGATCTTCCATACCAGAAAGGAAATAATCTTGATTTGTGTCGTCAGCTATTAAATAATATTTGTGTCAAAGATGGGAGACAATAAACAAGAAGAATCTACATCAAGTGTCAACAATACGTCATCATTGGCATCTTCGCTTATGACAAGAATTGTGTCAAATGCAAAATTTGCGGTAGAAATTTTTGACGGGTCAAGACATTTTGGGATGTGAAAAGGCGAGGTTTTAGATGTCATTTTTCAATAAGGGTTAGATCTTGCCATTGAATAAAAAATAACAGATGTTATTGGAGAAGAAGATTGGAGAATTATCAATCGTGTTGCTTGCGGTACCATTCGATCATACCTTGCTAAAGAGCAGAAATATCCATACACAAAGGAAACTTCTGCAAGTAAATTATGAAAAGCACTGGAGGATAAATTTTTGAAGAAAAACAGTCAAAATAAATTATTCATAAAGAAGAGACTGTTTCGCTTCACCTATGTTCCTAGTACCACGATGAATGAACATATCACCAGTTTCAATAAGTTGGTCACAGATTTGCAAAATATGGATGCAACTTTTGATGATGGTGACTTGGCCTTGATGTTGTTGGGGTCACTTCCTAATGAGTACGAGCACCTTGAAACTACTCTACTCCATGGGAATGACGAAATTTCTCTCAGAGAAGTTTGTTCGGCTTTGTACAGCTATGAACAAAGAAAGGGAGAAAAACAGAAGGGCGGAGAAGGAGAATCACTGGTTGTGAAGGGTCGTCCTCAAAATCAAACGAGGACAAAGAAAGGAAGATCTAAGTTAAGATCTAGACCCATCAAAGATGAATGTGCCTTTTGTCGAGAAAATGGGCACTGGAAGAAAGACTGTCCGAAGTTGAAGAATAAGGCCAAACATAATAATGAAAAGGCCATTATGGATTCAAATGTAGCTGATTGGGATGATTCATACTTCTCATTAGTTACAACAGAGTCATCAATATCATCAGACATATGGTTGATGGACTCGGCTTGTAGCTATTATATGTGTCCCAACAGGGACCGATTCGTAAATTTTCAAGAAGGAGAATATGAAGTCATCCACACAGCGGATAACAACCCTCTTACCGCATATGACATTGGTTCAATATGATTAAGGAACCATGATGGAATGATCAGAACATTAACAGATATTCGATATGTACCGGATTTGAAGAAGAATCTCATCTCTGTGGGAGCCCTAGAATCAAAAGGGTTCAAAATCATTGCAAAAAATGGAGTGATGAGAGTATGCTCTGGTGCACTAGTGGTAATGAAGGCCAATCGGAAGAACAATAACATGTACCGTTATCGCGGTAGTACAGTTATTGGGACATCGACACTGACATCTAGTGATGAAAAAGAGGTAGAAACAACCAGACTATGACACATGCGCTTGGGACATGCTGGAGGAAAATCCTTGAAAACTCTATCAGATCAAGGATTGTTAAAAGGAGTAAAGACTTGCAACTTGGAGTTTTGTGAGCATTGTGTCAAAGGGAAACATACAAGAGTTAAATTTGGTACATAGATCCATAATACTAAAGGCATTTTGGATTATGTACACTCTAATGTTTCGGGTCTTTCCAAAACACCTTCATTGGGTAGGAAGCACTATTTTATAACCTTTGTTGATGATTTTTTCCGAAGAGTGTGGGTGTATACAATGAAGAGGAAATATGAAGTGTTGGGAATTTTTCTCAAATGGAAAATGATGGTGGAGAATCAAACAGGCAGGAGGATCAAGTGTATTCACACAGACAATGGAGATGAATACAAAAATGATCATTTCAATAAGGTTTGTGAAAATGATGGCATCGTCCGACACTTTACTATCGGACATACATCCTAACAGAATGGAGTGGCAGAACGTATGAACCGGACCTTGCTGGAGAAGGTACGGTGTATGTTGTCCAATGCTGGCTTGGACAAAGAATTTTGGGCTGAGGCAATTACATATGCATGACACCTCATTAATCGCTTACCATCTGCTGCTATTGATGGCAAGACACCATTTGGAAAATGGTATGGAAAGCCTGCTGTAGATTATGACTCTTTGCACGTGTTTGGCTCAACTGCATATTATCATGTGACAGCGTCAAAATTGGATCCAAGGGCAAAGAAGGCTATTTTTATAGGGATTACTTCTGGAGTAAAAGGATATCGCTTATGGTGTCTTATGACAAAGAAATTAATATTCAGTAGGGATGTTAACTTTGATGAATCTGCTATGGTAAATAAGGTAACAGAAGATACCAAACAAAATGAGGGTGCTTCTAAGCATGTGGAGTTTGAGGGAAAATTTATTTTTCCTATACAAGAAGCAGAGGAAGAAACAAATGAAGATTATCCTCTGGAAGAAGAGCCAGTAGAGTGGGAGATTCCAACTCAGGAACCTCAACAACAACTTGAATCAATTGCAACTAGCAGGCCAAAAAGGACAATAACAAAACATGTCGTCTTATAGAGACGGTTGCTTGTGCCGCCTCAATTGTAGCTGATGATGTTCCTACCACTTATAAAGACGCAGTCCAAAGGTTATAAGAAGATAAGTGGAGGATTTCCATGAATAATGAAATACAATCGCTTCATCAGAATTATACATGGAGATTGGCCAATCTCCCGAAAGGAAAGAAAGCAATTGGGTGCAAATGGGTATTTGCAAAGAAAGAAGGATTTCCTAACCAAGAAGATGTTCGCTACAAAGCAAGATTGGTGGCCAAAGGATATGCTCAAAAGGAGGGAATTGATTACAATGAAGTGTTTTCTCCAGTTGTAAAACATTCCTCCATTAGAATTATGTTGGCTTTGGTAGCACAGTTGGATTTGGAACTAGTTCAGATAGATATAAAAACTGCATTTTTACATGGAAACTTGGAGGAGGAAATCTACATGACTCAGCCAGAAAGATTCAAAGTTGCTGGAAAAGAAAATATGGTATGCAAACTTGAAAAATCAT